AGAAAGAAAGAAAGAAAGAAAGAAAGAAAGAAAGAAAGAAAGAAAGAGAGAGAGAGAGAGAGAAAGAGAGAAAGAGAGAAAGAAAGAAAGAAAGAAAGAGAGAGAAAGAAAATAAACATTATACCACCGGGCCTACGACATACTGATGAGAGCCCTTGCAGATACCAGTTATCAATACCTGGAGGCGTGTAGGTTTCCACGGATGAGTGTACGAGGGCGGACCGTCTCTTTGAAGGCATGGGCATCTTCCTCTCTTTGTACTTGGCCAAAGCTGCTTGCACGGCTTCTGTGTGGACATCTGCAACAACAGTAGCAGTGGGTGTTTCTACTACAGTGGTTACAATCTGCTTCCATGTTGCTTTACCCCTGAGCAGGAAAAAAGAAAAAATGCTCTCTCTGCCCACTTACCCCTGTCCCTCAGACTCTCTCTAAATATTACTTTGCTTGAGGATTCAGCTTTTGAACTTGATAAATACTTCTAGCTATAAATTAAAAAAGAAAAAAAAGGCTAAGGACTCCCAGAGTCACTGGCCAGCCAGCCTAGCTAAACAGTAGGTCAATCGGAAGGTTCGCAAGCAAGCAAGCAAGCAAGCAAGCAAGCAAGCAAGCAAGCAAGCAAGCGAGAGAGCGAGAGAACAAGCAAAACAAAATGACACAGTTTGAAATCAGTGTGAGCATCTCAAGCACCCACCGAGGTTCCCACTGAGGGGGTTTCAATGTTCATGGAACACGTGCATCCATCAGTTTATCTATTTAAAAATAATAAACATCCAACATCCATGCCAGGCCTCCACATACATACAAAGGCATGCACACCTGAATACACACGTGCACAGCTCAGTAGGTAGAATGTTTGCACATCGTGTATGAAGCCCTGGCTTCCAAACCCGGTACCACATAAACCAGGCATTTTGGTATGTGACCAGGCTGTTAGTCCCCAAGATGGAAGCAAGAGGATCAGAAGTTAAAGGCTGTACTCTACTGCATAGTAAGTTCCAAGCCAGCTTGAGCTCCATGAGCTTGAGAACGTGTCTCAAAATAAAGGGGGAGGGGGACAAGATGGATCGACAAGTAAAAGTACTTATGACCACCAAGCCTGATACTTGTTTGATCTCTAGAACCTACAAAGGAGAAGAAAAACCAACTCCTGCAAGCTATCTCTGACCTGCACATGTGAACCATGGCATGCATACACCCCCACACATAAACAGACACATACAAACATACACATGTGCGTGCAAACTAGACATGCAAAACTTTTTATAAGTAAACCGAAGGCAAAGTAAATTTAAATATTATTTAAATATTTATAAAAAGCATTACCAAATAGTGGGAAATTTTAATTAAATTATACTCGTCACATAGGTTGGATGACGGATATCCCTGAGTTTCCCCAGAGCTTCTGGTGGAGAAGTGGATACAAACAGTAAGCATGCTGTCCTGGTAGGCAGGAGAGTAAAGGATCTCCAGAGAATAGAGATGGCTTAGTCAGTAAGGCTTGCATTGCAAGCATAGGGATCTAGAACTCCTATTTTAAAAACATCTAGGAGCACTTATAATCCCAGTGCTAGAGAGGTAGAAACAACAAGATGGCCAGACTTACTGGCCAGCCAGGACAGACTACTTGGCAAGTTCAAAGCTAAAAAGGAAAGCCGGGCAGTGGTGGCGCACGCCTTTAATCCCAGCACTTGGGAGGCAGAGGCAGGCGGATTTCTGAGTTCGAGGCCAGCCTGGTCTACAGAGTGAGTTCCAGGACAGCCAGGGCTGTACAGAGAAGCCCTGTCTTGAAAAACAAAACAAAACAAAGAAAAGAAAAAAAAAGGAAAAAGAGAAAAAGAAAAAGATGGCACCTGCAAATGCATAAATACACACACATGCAAATGCATGCACACACACATGCACACATGCATACACACACATGCACACATACATGCACACACACACAAACTTTGCATGCAAGCAATATGTAAGAAAAGTAAGACATCAAAATAAACGATCTCAGCTGTGCCTAGTGGCACACACCTTTAATCCCAGCACTGGGGAGGCAGAGGCAGGCCGATCTCTGTGAGTTTGAGGTCAGCCTGGTCTACAACTCAAGTTCCAGGACATCCAGGGCTACACAGAGAAGCCCTGTCTTGAAAAACAAACAACAACAAAAAAAACCTATCTAAAGATTCTGCTTTCTTGAACAATACGATGATATCAAGTAAAAAAATAACTATGTCTTTGGTAGACACATTCTAGCACAGAATATCCAACCAAAAGCCTTAGTAGTCAGAACACAAGTGTCCTGCCTGCTGCTACCCGCCTCCTGCTCCCGCACTTCCAGAGCTATGAACCTACCTGACCGGAAGCGCTCATCCCTTGAGTTGGTAGCCCGAGATTTCTGTTGTTTAGCTGTTGCTGCCGTCAGCAAGGGCCCAGGAATCCTATTCTCTGTCTGCAGACATGGGTCTACTCCTGAAACACAGTTTTATACCTTGTGTAAACAACTGCTGTTCCCATGATAAAAAGCCCCATTTAAAACAGTGTGCATTTCTCTCATATGGCCATACAGGTACATGCTGCACTACTCCTAGTAGGGCTCTTAAAGCACAAAGACCCTCTGGCTTGGGATTAAGTGCCATGAATATAGGTCAGAGTAATATCCATATCTAGACTACCTTCTCCCCATATCACGAGACCTAGTCTAGCCTCTGGTTCATAATTGTAATGATGACTATACCCTTAGGATGTCCTTGGCAACATGGTACATCAGTTTAAGTCTCATGTGTCAGCCACGGCTCTCCAAGAACTGGGTCCTGCATACATTAAGGCTGTTCCATAAATCTAAACTGGCCGGTGCTGTCTGATACTATTATGGTCCACAGTGCCATAATAAGTGAGAAGCAGCCCACCAGCCATTCCTTGGTGGCCCTTAGATACAGGGGAAACGTGGAGAGGTAGAGAATAAAACACCAAGAATAATACTGAACAACTTCAGAGCATGGACTGCTCAGAGGCCAGCAACCTACTCTAGATGCAGACCACTGTGGGCTGTCTTCAAATCTGGGACTGACAAAGCATGTCACCTACTGTCCACTCATCCTCAGCCGGCCAACGGCTCACAGTGATAGCGCGCACCCCCAGGATACATGACAGTGAGAACTAGCAGGGAAACAGCACAGCCACTAAACAAAGCCTCTGGTCTCATTGCAATCCTAATTTGCTAACACCTTCAGCTGAGACTCTGTAAGAGTGAACTTGACGTCCTTAGCTCTATTTGAAAATACCTTGTAAGACCAGCCAGCGGGCATTCCAACCTCACTGGCTCCTCCTGTCCTAACCACTGCCCCAGAACAAGCAGAGTTCATCCAGACATCCTGGGTCAGCATCTCTGACAGGAACACAGCACTACCTGACCTCTAAGGCTGGTCACATGAAGCAACACCTCTCTCTCTCTCTCTCTCTCTCTCTCTCTCTCTCTCTCTCTCTCTCGACTCAGCTTTGCCTGTGAGGTCCAATGCGCTAATCCCTGCACATAAATAGCCTTGTGGGAAAACAGGAAACAGGCAGATGAGCCCCCAGCCCAGAAGCCAACGAGGGGACCCTCACGAGCCACCAGCTAGACTCAATCACTTGACTCTCGGTGTATCCACAGGTGCTACTCTCTGAGCTGCCCCAAGCTGCAGCCCGATAGGGCTGTGATGCTGTCTAGCATGGGTGGTTGTAGAGCACTCGAAAATGAGAACAGCTGCTCCAGAAACCGAGTTTAACTCTTCCAAATCTGACACATGCACGTGCACGCACACGTACACATACATGTACATATACAGATCTGTGACAGTGGCCCTACTGGGTAAAAGAACTACTTCAAAGTTTCACTGAAGAACACTTAGTGTCAGGCATTAAGGATTAGAAGTGGCACATGCACAGTAATGTACAGACACATTCCGAAACATGGGTGCCTTTATCCTTTAGACAGATGGATTATCCAACAAAGACAAAAAAAAACTGATCTGAAATTACTGCACAGAGGGGAAGATACTTTGTTTGTTTGAAGACAGTGTCTCATTGTGTGTCCCAAGCTAATCTGGAACTTGCTATGTAGACCACACCGGTTTTGAACTTACAGAACTCACAAAGATCCACCTGCCTCTGCCTCCTAAGGAGTAGGACTGAAGGCATTATGTACCACACCAGGTTTGTTTTAAAGTATATATAA